TTAACCTGATAATTGTTTTCTTCCTCGTACTTAATACCTGCTTAACTAAAAATAATAATAGGCCTCCTTTTATACCATACTTGTAATTTATTTTCCTCTTTTATCTACTATAGTTGTTCTAGATTTTTTTTTTATTTTGACAATTTTGTCAATATTTAAAGTGTGTCATCTGTAGTGATTGATTTTTGAACTTTCTCACAATCATCAATTCTCTATTGAAGCTATACACCGAGCTTCAAACTTTCCAAGAATCTCTTTTGTCACACTCCTAATCTCAGTGACTATCAGAGTCCATATGACAGATATTATATCAGTCTAAAATTCCAAGCCTCTTCATTGTTCATCTGAATTTTGAAGAGTCTTATATTATTTATCTTTAACATTGTACCATCTAATTCTAGAATCGAGCCAGTACCCCAGATACCTCCAATTTCATACTGAAAATATATGATAAGAGTGTGAACATTTTCAATCTTTATGACCTATTCATCCTAAAAGCAACAAAATTTGTTAATGTAATGAACCAAAAATGTAGAGATGGTAGACAAACTTTGATGAATTTGAATATGAGATTATCATTTAAACCTCACTGCATCAGTACAAGCATCAAATACATTCTCCTAAGGTATCAATGTCTACACTTTGGATATCAACAATTAAGAAATGCATTCTCCTAACAAGAATTCATAAACGAACCAGCGCATCAGTTTCCAACTTATATTCGACGTCTTTACAACCAATTTATGTTATGAAATCATGAGACATAACATAATATGTCTCCTTTTGTTGTTAGTTCTGTTTACAAAACTATTGAAACGGTCCAGTCCTCAAAAAACATTATAGGATATCTGAATTGATTTCTAAAATGTTTGATGAGTAACCAGCCAAACCTTTTGGAATCTCAGTGGAACCTTCTGGAACTCCTTTCTCTAATCTCCACTGTAAGTAGTGCCATTCACTAGCTTCCTTATCAGCCTCCACTAAGGGTGCTGCATAGAGAAGTAAAAGAAGTGAAAATTAGGATATCAATAGTGAATCTTTGTTTGCACTCTCATGACAAGTAGTTGACAGAATGAAAGACAATTTAGTAGCCTCACGAGTTGCATTAGTGGGGAAGATTCCTCTATATCCTAGGCAATTCAATCTAGGATCCTTGAACCATTGCCAACTAAGATCATTTCCTTGTGCAGCAACTATACCATCATAACCAACTCCTCCCCAACCAACCGATGCAGCCTCAGGTTCTTCAGCTGATGCTGAATTACTAGAAAGGTTGCTGCCAAATCGTTGCCAGCAGGAGAATTCCTTGTCCACGTTGTCTATCCCAACCTTTGATCTCAAACAATACCTATAGCACATGAATAAAAGAACCATAAAAGTGACATCCTTTTTGGTTGCTTAAATGAACGGCAAGGTTTTCTATAAAAGATTGATAGTATAGAGAACACTGGGGACTGTGTTTTATGACTGTCTTCCAATCTTAACAAATGACATTGGCAATTCATGCTCCATCAGTTTTGGACATCCCGCACTTTAGCAACTCCAATGGGCCATGAGAAATTCAGTAAACTGATGTAGAAGAAACAAAAGTGTTGAAAATAAAAGACTATCTTGGATTCCAAGTAACTGCTATCAGATGTTGGCCCTGCTTGAAAAGTGGCTAATTGATGTTAATTGATCTTATGTTTTCGCTTGTCTCCTACGTAGCAAAGAACTATTTCTAGTTTCTATCTTCTTTTTACTTCATCTTTTTTTTTTTGAATGACATCTATCACACTTTTCTGATATACATTCAGTTATTAAGCTGCTGTAACCTGTGATCTTTAATTACTAGGGTTATCATCAATGTTCTTACTTGTAACAGCACTGACTGCAGAACAGCAGTGCTTAGTCATCTAGAAACTCATTTTTAAGAAAAATGATAATCCTTATATGACAAACTGTAAAGAAGCAATCAGCTAAATTCACCATATTTTCATTTTAAAAATGTTGAAACAGCACTAAATACCTAACTATAACATATTAGTCACTTTATAATGTTTGATAAATGACAAATTGATGATTTCTATTCAACAAAGAAGTACCATTTTCACCACACAAAACCTGAAAATACAGTAATACACACAGTTACAAATAACTATCACTATATTGATAGATAAGCAAATAAAAATAACTGGCAATGTGTAGTCAATGGGGAATCTTCTCGTATAATTTCCAACCAAATGCTCCTAAAATTTACAGCCGGAAGAAGATAGGGACATTGAATACCTCACTAGCAAGATGGCACTTAATCAAACTGTATACACTCCAGATGTACTAAATTCACTTATCCTCCATTTTAATTGAAAAAACTTGAATTTTTAGCATAATATGCAAGACAAACTTCTTCATTAGTCCATGTTTATCCATTTTGTCATTTCTTTTCCCTCTAAGAGTTGTGCATCCATAAGCAAACTTTTGACTCGGGTAAAGAGACAATATGATTAAACATAACAAATATCAAATTAATTAGAAGTTTTCAGACAACGAGAAGACTCAAGCTGCCAACCAAAATATGTTCATAGCTTCATTTATAGTTAAAATATCATGCTATAATGAAATGAAATAACAATTAGTGGAGGTAGGAGAGGTAGAGAGAGACCTATGAAATTTTATTAGTGAAAATAAAAAGAGACTCAGTTGCTCTTACAATAACAGGAAAATTACCCTAAACATGGACATGGATCCATGATGGAGAAAGATCCATAGAGCATTACAACTGGTTGTTGTTGTTTTAGCTTCATCCATGATCTGGTTAGTCAACTCTGTCATTTGTAGAAATTTACAGATGTCTTATACCCAAATTTAACAAAATTGAATCAATTATGTCTTCATTGTTGAAGTGTTTGATTGACTCTCCAAATGCATGCAAGATCCTCTAATTAATCTTTGATGTTAATTGGAAGGATGAGGTCAGCACATACAGATATTTCTTCTTATAATCACATCTAGCTTAATAAAGCCAGCATATATGATGAAAACACAAAAAATTGAAACCCAACACCTTCATAGTTTGATGCAATACTGCCAGTGTTTGCATATGACAAGGACCAGACAAAACTATCATATGTCAATGTGTGCATTGAAACTAATGCATAGTTTCTACTGAGGATATGTCAATGTGTGCATTGAAAGCAACGATCTTCCTGCAATATGAATTTAAGGGGAAAAAGGAGAAAAGGAAAGGTATCGAACCCTTACTTCTTGAAGCAATCAAGAAGATCATCCACGACGGCGGTGTCGACATCGGCGAGCAAAGTGAAGGGCTCCTCAGAGTCGGCCGAGCCGGGCCCCGACCCAGTCCGCCCATCGAGCTTCTCGTCGGGCCGAGGGGGGCGGTACAGGAAAAGGTCGTACAAGAACCTTCCTTGGGGGGTGAGCAGGGCAGCGTATATCGGCGGCGGGGAACGGTAAGTGAGATTAGGCGTGGGGAGGTAGGAGGCCTGAGAGACGCGGCTGTCAGTGGGAGGGGTGCGGGCCGCAAGGGGGCGGATGTCGTTGGTGAGTAGGCCCTGGAGGAACTTGACCGTGTCGGGGCCGCGGAATCGGAGCACGGAGCGGGACTCGAGGCGGCAGGCCAGGGGCCCCGCATCGTCCAGGCGACGCCCCGGCGAGGTCTGAGAGTGGACGCTTCGGAGGAAGGAGCTGGAGAAGGCGGTGCGGAAACGCGATCCGAAACGGAAAGAAGACATCTTACTTGCTTTGTTACTGTTGTTCCTCTCCTTCTTCTTCTTCCTCTCTTCTGCTCCTCCTCCTCGTCGTTGAGGGGGCGGAGGCGGAGGAAGCTGCGGCGAGAGCGGACGCGTGTGGCGAGGAAGACGTGACAGTGAGGTCACGTGCGAGAATGGATCTATTCCTTGGCGATCCTTCATCTCCACCCTTCATTCTTCGAATCAGATGATCTCAGCCTTCCACCCGCCGAGATGATGGGTGTTTCCACTCCGGATGTGGACCAGCGGAAGATGCTTGATATCATAGGATTGAACGGTAAGAAATGGAGTATGTGGGAGATGGAGGGTAGATATGGTGGATTGGAGGGAGACGAATTCATAAGAATTGCATAGGATCCGAACACTGATTGATCTCCGAGTTTTTTTTGGTTCGGTTTGATTTCCTACTAATTGAACCGGTTCAACTTTTGAGCTGAGGGATATTAAATATAATCTAATTTATAGATTCCAAAATAAAATTCAATTGAAAATTAAAATATGATATAATAAAATACTATTCTCATGCAGACATTTCTTGTTTTATCAAATATTTTAATGAAAAATAATATTAGTCCACATGTTATAGCTTATGTAATATATATTAACATAAATTATGTCAAAACTTATTAGCATAATTTGTATTTCACTTTGATGTCAATGATAAATAAAGATAATAGACTTAAGTGTTATTTAAGTAATCATCTACTTTTGACATAAGACATATGATATATTTCCCATTTAAATTATATGTGTGATGAAAATAATTATCTTCCTATAAACTTTATCTTGATGAATTGACAATATAAAATGAAATTGGTGTATTATCTTTAATTTTTTTTATTTTGGAAGTTAATTTCTCTGGTAAAAATGTAAATTTATTTCTCTAAATTTAAATTCAACACAAATTTATACTAAAATCTTACTACTTGCCTTTGTGGTCATTTGATTATTAATTAAAATTTTAATTAACATTAATTTATATATAAACTCAAATTAGTTAACGTTATCATAATTAGGATAATTAAATTGAGTTTTATAGATGGATGCATTGATATGGTAAAGTTTCAAGGTACTACATTTCTTCCGTACCTAAGTTACCCCGCTTGTCATTGGTGAATCAATGGGGCCGGAGACACGCTGTCTTTAATTTCGGTGTAGGTAATTTTGACAGGTATTTTTTCTATTTAATGGAAAAATCGAAGCTTAAAGTACCCGATTAATTGGCTATTCGACTGTAAATCGAAAGCGTCACCGATTACCTCTCCTCGGGAGAGAGGGAGGGAGAGACTTGGCGGCAGAAGGGGCGGGAGAGGTGATGGTGTTCTTTTGGCTCACTGCCTTCTTCCTCGTCGTCATCCTCATCGCTCTCGTAATCCACCAGGTACCCCTCCATCTTTCGCCCAACAATCATGAACAGTTTCGGGCTTTATCCGTGCAAAAACCCCCGTAGAATCGAACTCTATCCCGGTTCTGATATTTGAGGGAGGAAAAATATGGTATTTGACGGGATGGATCGCGTTCTTTCTCGAAAATTAGACCTTGTAGTTCTTTGTTCCCTTTGAAGCCAGCTAGATTGAAGTATGGTTCGGTAACTTATCGGGATATGAAAGGGGTCTGATTCCAAGTTGTGACAGCCAAAGTTCCGATTTACTGTAGTGTCATTCTGTTGTTTGGTTGTGAAACAGGAGAAGAGTGAAATAGGGAAAATGCGGGTTCAAGAATGGTCAATACCCTTAGTCCTTTGGTTGATTATTAGGACTATTGGGTGTTTTCATGACAATAGTGCTGAAACCAGATCCAGCAAGTTAGTTTGGGATTTTTGAACAGATTACATCGATATTTGCTGCTACTCATGTGGGATTGGGCACCTGCTAGAATCCTTGGGTGAAAAGAAGTGTTAAGCATGCAAATTTCCATTTTTGTCATCAGCAATGCACTATTTCACGAACTGACCAAGCATATACAAGTCAATTTTCATTTCAGCATGAAGCTAGAAATTATCCAGGGATTTTTCTTCACAACAGTTTTGGTGGAAATGCAATGAATACCAAGTTTTTCAAGTTGTTTATGAAGTGTTTATCTGTTTAGTGAAGGGTATTCAATGTTTTAGTTTAAAGAAACATGAATCTTGGTTTGATTAGTCCAGCATGCCCACGAGACGATTTTTGGCATGTAGTTGTGTCTCTACACCTGTTGCTAAACAGAGTGATGTAGTTGCCCTGTGTTTTATTTAATGACTCTATGCTATAGTCACCAAGGAAAATTATGCTTGACATTCTGCTTAGTCACAACTTTTGCATGAAACACAGGAAATTTATATCACAGAACTGTAGTCCATTAATATTATTTTCTGTGAACATGGTTGTGTTTTGTTGTACTAAGTAACACAATATGTGCTACTTTGTTGGCACTATTGAGATCTGTTTTGCAGCACAAGTTTCTATATACTTCTTGTAGGACATTTTTGTATTTTTTTTTTTTCTTTTGAAACACCGGTTGGAAGTTGGACATGGATATTAGTTACCAGTTTTTAAACGAGGTGGCTTAGGTTTGTCATATTCTAGTCTTGCTACATTAGGTGGTTTAACTATGCATTCTTTGCTCACTTTTAATGCCACCTGGAAGAACTTTTCCTGAATAATGAATGTTGACATTGTGTTCTGCAGCTCATGTGCTTGGCAGACCTAGAATTTGATTATATCAATCCATATGACGTAGCTTCCCGGATAAATAAGGTGATATATCCAGAATTTGCCTTGCAAGGAGTCTTGGGTCTACTCTTTCTCTTGTCTGGAAATTGGTTGATGTTCACGTTTTGTGTTCCAATCATTTACTACAATGTGAGATTGTAAGTTGCTCTCATTACTATCTTGTTGCTCTCTCATAATTTATACACTATACGTGTAAGAAAGATAAAGCAAACAACTTTCATAGTCTATTTTCAAATGTGTTGCACTACTGACCCTTAATTATCTTCTTGTGCATTACAATTATGAAAATCTGGCTGAAATCCCTGTTCTGTAGAGATGATGGATACGCATGTCTATAGCTACTACTAGTTCTGTGAAACACTAACTCCCTTTTCTCTGTTTGTCCACATTGCTCTAATGGATATATGCTTATGGTATTCAGCTCTAGCTGTAAACTGAAGACTATTGCTGTCTTAATGAACTCCATCCATGAAGATTGACAAAAATTGGAGTTCATCATCCAAGCCTTGTCCAACGCATGTGTTCTATAGAGCATAACTCTTTAAGTCAAGGGATCTATGGTAGATTTCAGCTGAATTCAAGGCTTCTTGTCAACCAGGGTCCAGGCATGCACACACAAGGGCTGATGCATGCGTAACAATCACAATTAGAAAAGTGAGAGACATATATAACTGTAAGATTAGAAAAGTGAGAAGTTATTTTCGGCCATCAAGCCTGAAGACTAGTCAAATAGTGGGAAAAGTTGAGATAATAGTTTCAGAACTGACAACCAGGGAGGTACATAAAATTTCTCAAAATTTGGAAAGAGTCTGCATAGAACCAGAAATGAGAATCTTTGATCGTAGGAGCAAAGACCTTTAAAGCCAACATTCAAGTGGAACAATGTGTATCCATTTTATAATGTAGGGCCTAATCTAATAATTTTCCTAACGGCTGCATGTGCTACTTTAATAAGCTATATAGTGATATCCAGAGTAGTAGCACTTTGATGTAATCAAAGTTTTAGTTGGAACCTCATTTCTAGAAGAGATGGAATGTTGGAGCAGATCAGATCCATGGAGCTTTTTTTTTTGTTTGATTGTTGATATCAGCAGTTGATAGAATATCCATCTCAAATTGATAGGATTTACATGTTCATTATCAGTTTCATATCCAGGCCCCTACACAGAAAAAATTAGGGAGGATCCTCAATTAATGTCCCAAAGTCAAGTACTTGGTCTCAACCATGAAACAGTGGTGAGCTTTGGACTAGGAAAACAATGACAATCAATTTAGGATGTGGATACATAGAATTCAGAAGTTTGGAACTGTTAAAACCCAAATGGGTTCTCCTTCTGGGTTAAAGAAATCCTAATTTTTCATAGCTTTGGATTGGCTAAATTTCAGCGTTTGATATTACTCTCTCATCTTCAAATAATAGCATAGAAAGATTGATTGTCAGTCTGAAGGTTGAACAAATATTTGCATTATTAACAAATTGTATTAACTTGGCACTTAATGTATGCTATAATTTACTTAAGAATGATATCCAAATTTGTGCATCTCAAAAGGTAAATCGTTTTTGCTTCATTTCAAAACAAGCTGTTGCATCTTATTTTGGTGCATTTTGGCATCAAAATATACTAATTTTTTCCACCTAGAATATTTTCAAATGACAAACTTAATATAAAATGGTTCAAGATTGAAAATTTGGTGTTTTGGTTGTTTGGAAAATCATTCCGCAATAAATAGCACTTATTTCAGGCATACATATGCACTCAGTAAGATAAGAAAAATGCCAATTCTAAGAATTAAAGGGTGATGCTTGATATAATGTATAGAGATGGCATTATGCAACTATACTGTCTTAAGTAGATATACACTAAGCTATAAAACTGGTGAACCCCATGAGCATGATTAAAATTGGATTTTTAACATACAAAAAACAAGGGTCTATCTACCAAACAATTCATTTTGCTTTGTATTAGAACTTGCAAGTTTCTGTCTAACATTTTGCTTTGACTTAATATTTATGCACCTTACATAAGGTTGACATATGTTGTTACTTACCGAGCGTGTGAATCGTGGAAATAACTTGCATTGGTGGAAACCTCAGTGTACTTGATCACCCATTTTCTCTCGAGTTGTGTTCTATGCAGACCACATATGCATGTGCCGTACTAGTAGTTTTACACAAAAGTTAATGCAGTCTTGATCGTTACTGTTGAAAGCAGCTGCATGTGTCAAGTAAAACATAGAAGTTTGAAATTATCAGCTGATTTGTTGTCTTTTTACAGGTACCAGCGGCAGCAACATCTAGTAGATGTGACTGAGATCTTTAATCACCTCAACAGAGAAAAGAAAAGGCGTCTTTTCAAGCTCATCAATCTTGTTATTGTTCTCTTCTTGTGTTTGATTTGGTAAGTGACATACATCGGATCCAAAATTGAATATTGACTAGCACACAAGTTATGCTAATTGTTGTATTCTTTCATGAACTTTGTAGGATGATTTATAGCATATTGGAGGAGGCTGAATAGTTCATGAACTTCCATGTCCTCAATTCATACTGCATGCTGACATAAAGGTCTACTTTAGTTTCTTTTTATCCATTGATAAGTTAAACTTCTTGGTCTCCTGTTCCAATCATAAAATTCATCAGTGATCTTCCATAAGCTCTTGAAACTGGAAACATCCATCAGCTCTCATCGATCAGCTCTTGGTCTCTGAGCTCGTCTTCAGCAAAGCTGTCATGCTACTCTATCCATGTAAAAATGCATCTTTCGGATAGGCCATTAAGTGATGCACTTGTTTTTTTTTCCTTTGATAACTGAAATATTCATTGTTGCATGATTAACATTGTCTTACAAAATAGAATTTCCGATAAATGATTCCGAACTTTGCTGGCATTTTGCTTCCACTTAAAAGTAGATTAAGTTGTTCGTGGCATGACGCTAATTTTGTAGGCTTGGTGCCATGGTAGCACTTGATGATCGACATTTGACTTGTGTAAATAACTCTGTTCTTGAACGATAAGATTATAAATATTGAATTGGCATCTTGCATCGGTGCCCTGAGGTATCTTTTAATGTTGGAGAGATCAGTATTAATTGTTGATGGTAGCTTTGAAATCTATCTTTTTGGTTGGACACAAGTTCCCAAAGTAATTTCTTTGATTCTTATGATTGAAAAATGACTAAATCTAAATTGAGTTGAACAACATGATTTAATCTCTCTTATGTAATAGGGATTAACAAAAGATTAAATAACTAAGAAGTCAAAATTAGAGATTAAAAATGATACTAAATAGGAAGTCTAGATTTGGATAGCTTAAAATTCACATTTTAATATTTGGAGTTGCTATAGTAAATACCAAATTCACATAATCTTCTTAAAACGCAATCTTTTCCTGTTCCAAAAACCCTTCCTGTCTTAACCTCTCCCAACATTTTGGGGGGAAAGGAGGAACTATCCAGCAAACCATAGAATCTAATAAGTCAATAGATCTACTCATCGATCTCACTGTCTTCTCCTCTCACATGTGACAGAAAAGAAGCTCCCTTTGTCATCATCAGTCCAACACTTCTCTTCCACGCATGGAAGTCCCCCGGCCATACCCCTCTCTCTCTCTCTCTCTCTCTCTCTCTCTCTCTCTCTCAAATCCATCTCCATCCTATATATAAATGGCTTTCATCAGATCTCTCAGTGAAGTGGTACTTCTCGTGTACATCACATCACCCAGTCCCAGCTCAGTGACACTTGACGACGAGGGGACGCAATGCACGGGCGCGTCGGTGACCGTGCGCCGGCCCTGACGCAGTGGATCAGCGGCCGCCCAATCCGCGCGCCCTTAGCGCTGACACCCCATCAAACACTGCGTGGGCAAGGTTAGTGGTTGGTGCGGAGTGGTTGGATCCAGCTCGCCTGCCACGGACGAGCCACCGACCACGAAAATTACGAGCCCAGCTCGTCCCTGATGCGGACCCCAGTGCGGGGCCTACAGAAGGAGATGCACTGTCCCCCCTGTACGGCGTTTTCTAGTTCTCTGCAGATGGCCCCTGGAGATTCGTGCCGTCCCGACATCTGACTTGGCTGGCGATCCACATGCGTCCCCACTGGATTCTGATACGTCCAGGTGTCGCTCTTACTTCGACTACTTATTATAATGCCACCCAAAACACACCCGTCTTGTGATCGGAGGAATCGATGTGGATCCCAGCCTCTTACGAGAGGACTACACGGGCGGGTAGCATCGTTCGGCGTAAGAAAACAACTTTGTCACCGGTGACGGATTCCATAACGTGGGAGCCACGCTGTCTCTAAAGTCCAAATCGAGGTGGTCACCCCAATAATATCAAATTCCGTGGCACAGCAATCAGAGTACAGCGTTCTAAACCAATCGTGAACGTCCTTGAATCGGACAAAGCAATACTATTGCTGGAATACGGCGAACTGCATTCGCCGTGGACACCGAATCTTTGGATACTGCAGGGTGCTGATAAGTATGAAGGGGTGATCTTTTCTACAGCAAAGGTAACCTTGACTGGGAAAGCTCAGAGGCAGTTCGAAAGATTGTCGTTGGATTGACTGCTATATAGCATACAGAGAAAGGAAGAGACGAGGAAGAGGAAGGGAGGAGATCTGGATGGGGAGAGGTGTTGATGGAGAAGGAATCAGTTGGGTTGGGACAGAGACAAAGAGAGGAACAGAATAACTATATAACAACGGAGACACCAAACTCCACCATCAATCATGTCTCTCTCTCTCTCTCTCTCATCTCTCATCCCTCCACCCTTTGACCTGCCCTAACCCTAACCTTCCCTCCTGAAGCAAATCCCAAGCCCACTTGCCTCCCTCCTCCTCCGCCTCCCTTCCCTTGCCGCCGGGTAGCTAAACAAATACCAAGCATCAAAGAAAAATGGCACAGTTGATGGAGTTCCTTTCCACACCCAATTAGCAGGGTTTGATTCCTTGGGAAAGCGAAGAAAGGAGAGACAGACCGCCGCCTTCCTTTTCCTTTCTAGCTTATCTTTTTCTCTACTGGATTAGATCGTCAACCGTCTCTCGATCTTTGTCTGCAAACTATCAGCTATCTGCTTACCTGTACTGTTCCATTTCCTGAGGTCGCGCACTAGCTAGCCTCATGGATCCGATTAAAGCCTCCACACATGGCCACCATCTCCCTCCTCCGTTCCACAACCGAGACTTCCACCACCCGCTCCACCCCTTCCAGCATCTTCAGCAGCAGCAACAGCCGCCGCCTGCGGTGGAAGAGGAGCACAGCGGCACCAGCGGCCTCCACCGCGGCATGAAGCGCGACTACGACGGGGATAACAACGATGGGAACGATGGGGGAGACGGCAAGGAGCTGGTTTCGGCGCTGTCCGGCGAGGGGGATATGGTTCGGAAGCCGCGCGGCCGCCCCGCCGGGTCCAGGAACAAGCCGAAGCCACCCATCATCATCAACCAGGACAGCGCCAACGCGCTGAGCTCCCACGTGATGGAGATCGCCGGGGGGTGCGACATCGTCGACGGCGTCGCCACCTTCGCCCGCCGCCGGCAGCGCGGCGTCTGCGTCCTCAGCGGCAGCGGCACTGTCGCCAACGTCACCCTGCGCCAGCCGGCCTCCCCCGGTGCGGTCGTCAACCTCCACGGCCGGTTCGAGATACTCTCCCTCTCCGGATCCTTCCTGCCGCCGCCCGCGCCGCCCGCGGCCACGGGCCTGACCATCTACTTAGCCGGCGGGCAGGGTCAGATCGTCGGCGGCAGCGTCGTGGGGCCACTGATAGCCTCCGGCCCAGTGATCATAATGGCAGCATCCTTCGGAAACGCCGCCTACGAGCGGCTCCCCCTGGACGACGAGGAGCCCCTTCAAGCTCAGCAAGGTGGCCTTGGCTCTCCGGGACTGGTCGGCCAGTCTCCCCCACTGCAGCAGCAGCAGCTGCACGACCCCAGCAATCCACTTCTCCATGGTCTGCCGCCGAACCTGCTCAACAATGTGCAATTGCCAGGCGAGCCTCACGGCTGGGCCACCGGCGGAGGAGGGCGCACGCCCTACTGATCCCAGAAACAGCTCGTTCGTCTCTCCAAACCCTTGCCAGCCCAGGTAAAAGGGATCAGCTGATGCCGAGTTGATTCAGGCTTTCTTTCTCTCGTCATTTTCGTTCTGCATAGGATCATGATTCGTCTTTCTTCTCGTTTGATGATGAACGAAGGCTTATGGGTTAAAGCCATGGAGGAAGAGTGGGAGAACGCAAGAACAGTATGATCGTCTCCTCACCTCTCACTCCAACAAAAGCAAAGAAGATTAACCCTGGAATTAAAGAAGAGGTTCAACGTTGTACTTCTGCTCTTAATTCTGCTACTTCGAAGCCTTGCAACCATAGTTGTAATCGTAATATTGCTGCATGCATATACTGTATGCTGTTCAGTTGAGCGTCTGCTTAAAGTTAGAGATCCTTCTGCTCTCGCAGAATCGAATCAGTCAAGCATTTTGTTTGATCCGTAGGAATATATATGCATGCGAAGTAGACTGTTGTATTGTGATCCTTTACGATTTAGGACTTGCATGCGCATCTAATCAGTAGATATGGTTGGACACACCACTGCTCTGTGAATTAGGATCATCAAATGTCATCGGCAAAAGGCATGCACACGATCTCTTTCTAGATTCTCATGCATGATATTGGTTTCTTACATATGTATGGTCTTAGAGCAATGCATGGAGATTAGAAACTTAGCAAATAGATCGATGAACACAGAATCTTGAATTCTTTTTCTTTTTTTGTCGATTAAGTGATCGATTTCCTAAGAATTAGGTCAGTGTAGTGAGCTTGACATTGGTAACCTTTTGGGCAAAATGGATGAGGATAATGTATTTGAGTCTCAATATTGTGAAGGACTGTATCCTTAGAACCGATTTGTTTTTGTCCAAAATTAAAAGCCAAAACGAATCTATTGCTAATGATATTGTTGTTCTTCACAATGCCAATTTCTTATGCTTAGAGTGTGCAAATCTTCTATAGAAGTGAGACATGAAAATGTGCATCAAAGGGGAAGTATATAGGATTATCTTATCTTATAAATAAACTTATTTTGGGGAGAAAAATAGGTTAAATGATGGAAGAAGAGAAGAGAGAAGATAGTGAGAAGAATCGAAGGCTTCGAATTGCCATGATTGATTAGTCAAATATTGATCAAGGCTGATCAACTCATACATAAGATGAGATTGGTGTAGACTTTATCAGTTCATCTCAAGGTTTTGAGATCAAATTCCACCTTCATTACTTACCATTTGTACAGAAACAAAAAGTCAAAGGGAAGATGAGATTTGGCATCCACTATCTGCTCATTGTTGAGCAGTGATTGGGATTTGATTAGATACCCAAATTAGTCAATTTCTCCTCACTGGCTAATCCTATGAGTGAGGAATTCATAGGTGAATACCAGTTTCATCTATCATAGGCTAATATTCTTGATAGCTTGTTGAGATGTGTTGAATTTAAATTGGATCTTCTATGATATGTGGTGTCATATAAGATGTAGTAATTTTGTCAACTGAACTCCTCTCTCCATCTGAATGAAACTAATTGGTATCTTCTTATAATTCTAATCCATTTTGGATTTGCATATGACTGGGTTTTCATGACTTGAGCCTTTTCCCCTTAGTCACAATGGACCAATTTTAGCATAGTATCAAAGTTCATCCTCACTAGCTGTAATATGCCAAGGATGATACTAAAAACTAGTTGTGTTTGATTTTTAGGAGCATTATCTGGACATTCCTTGTCAAAAGAACCATAAATAATTATAATGTCAAAAGTCTTGTGTTTCAACTTCTTGACAAGTTCTTCATTAATGAAACTATTAAGTTCACTCTATATCCAATAGAGCAGTGGTTTTGTGATTCTTGATGAGTCACAAGCTTTGCAAGCAGGAAACCTTCCCCCTCCCCATGAAAGGCAAAAGGATAATTGAGATTGGTATGTGGCAGTGCATTGTTTCTTTGAATCTTTCTGTATTCTTCTTTGTAATTAATTATTCATTAGCATTTCATCATCCAAAGAAGTTGAGTCTCAGTGTCCTACACTACATTTTTCATGATAATGAAAGAACAGATCTTTGCTGCTTTGCAAGGTCAGGGGTAGTAGGAATTCCATTGTGCCTTGAAACTTTCTGTTGTGGAAGCCATGAAAGAAACCAATTTTGACTATAAAGTCTTACCAAATCCTTTTTATAGAAAATTGGGTGAATATGAAGGTTTTGGATATCATTGATGGTGAAACCTTTTTTTCTTTTTTTTTTCTTTTTTGCTGCATGAGCTTGTAAAACAAACTTTAAGATGAGTTGTGGATATATATATATATCATAATTTATATATTTTTATGCTTACAAAATACATAAATTTACACTCAGTTCATGATTAGCTCACGACAATTATATTAGTCAAAACATGCTTTTCAAAATACATTGTGTATATAATGATTTATACAATAATTATTTTATAGTGAATTAAATTT